CACCTTTCATGGCCGAGGCTCAGAAGTCATGTAGCATCACTCCTATAAGTGTGCCAGTCACTAGACTTGAGTCACCAAGCCCAGTCCAGATTGCAGGTAGGGGAATTAGACTTCACCCCTTGATGGGAGGAGTGTCAAAGAGTTTGTGAACATGTTTTAAAACCACCTTATGGGGCGTGTGGGTGGCTCAGTCGGTTAAGCGTCTGCCTTCGGCTCAGGTCATGATCCCGGGGTCTTGGGATCAAACCCTGAGTCGGGCTTCCTGCTCAGCAGGGAGTCTGCTTCTCCCTCTCCCTCTGCCCTTCCACCCCCTCCCCACCTTGCTGGTGCTTGCTCTCTCTCTCTCAAATAAATAAATAAATAAAATCTTTAAAAAAGTTTTTAAAAAATAAAACCACCTCAGCAAATGATACCTCTGGTGGTACTTCCTCTGACACCTCCCTCTTTCTTGCCCCTCCTCCCCCATCCAGCCAGTCACCAAGGCTTATAAATTCTACCACCAACAAATATCTTCAAATCTTTTCATTCTTTCATCTCACACCTGGAGCCCTGCATCTTCCTGACTTTCCCACCTCCACTCTTTCTTCCTGTGATATTTAGGATTAGGTTCATTTGCATATGACAAAAAATCCAAATAACAGTGGCTTAAACAAGATCAAAATATTCTTCTCTTTTACATAAAAGAAACTAATACATAGCTATCCAGGGCTGATGTAGTGGCTCTGTGATTCTCAGGGGTCTGGGCTACTTTCATTTTGCTCCTCTACAAAGCCCTGATCCAATATGGCTGCCTAAGCACCAGCCATCACTTCCACATTCCAGCCAGGGGAAAAAAAAAAAAAAAAAAGGATGGAGAAGGATACACCCTCTCCCTTAAAAGATCCTTCCCAGAAATTTCTACTTATATTTCATTGACCAGTACCTAGTCACACTACCACACCTAGCTGCAAAAGAAGCTGAGAATGTAATCTTTATTCTGGGCAGCCATATGCCTCACTAACATCCAGGAGTCCATAAATAGCAGTCTTGGACACACTCCTCTGAATCCACACTTCACGCTACACCCAGAATCTTTTCCCTAAAATGCATATCTGAGTATATCCCTCCCCTGCTCAAGGCCTTCAGTGGCTCCCCACCCCTTCTGGATAAAATTAAAATTCCTTAAAATGACTCCAATGTTCCTGCTATCTGGGCTTCTTCTCTGTCAACTGTTACTAGCAATACTTCACCTTCAAGGATACTAACCTACTTGCAGTCCAGCATATTCTTTCTCATCTCAAGGTTAATGCAAGGTGTTCCCTCTGCATAGAATCCTCTCCCACCCTCTCTACAGGTTCACTCTACCCACACTTCAGGCCTCAGCCTGGACATCACTGTCCTCCAAGAAGATTCGGAGGGGCCCATGGACATGTTTTCATTTCTTTTAGAATCAGAAGGAAAAAATGAACTCCTAGGTCCAAGAAAATGTTTGAATTCATCGATATTAATAGTACCTCCCTCACTAGGGTCTTGTAAGGATGAATGAAAGAATACATTACATGTGAGGGGCTTAGAACACTTCCTGTCGTATAGTAAGCTCTCAATAATGATCACCTATTATTATTGCTGTCATTATGGCCAATTAGTGTCCTACCTCTCCCAGAGGTTTTTTCACTTGAGAGTTGGCTCTCACAGGAGAGAAGAGATTACTTACCTCCCCCAGTCCCCAGGGATTATCTGGAATGGTGGAATTTCAGGCTGCCTTGGAAAGACTATCAGAAGCAAAGAGATGGGGGTGCCTGGGTGGCTCAGTCAGTTAAGCGTCTGCCTTCAGCTTGGCTCATGAACCCGGGGTCCTCCGATCAAGCCCGCTTGGGGCTCCCTGCCAGAGGGGAGTCTCTCTCCCTCTGCTGCTCCCCCTGCTTGTGCTGTCTCTCGCTCTCTCTCTATGTCAAATAAATAAATAAAATCTTTAAAAAGAAAAAAGAAAAGCAAAGAGATGTTCTCCTAGCTTCAAATCATCTTCTCTGGTCTCCACCTGGGTAGCTTATGGGGCCCGGGGGGTGGGTGCAGGTCCTATTACAGGGGAAACTGCATGGACATTGGAGTCGAACAGACTGGGTCCTATCTTAGCTCGGGCTACTATAACAGAGTACCATAGACTAGGTGGTTTAAAGAACAGAAGACTATTTCTCACACTTCTGGAGGCTGGGAAGTTCAAGATCAAGGTGCCAGCCAGTTGGCTCCCAGGAGAAGCTCTCTCCCGGGTTTGCAGACAACTGCCTTCTCATTGTATCCTCACGTGGTGCTCTCACGGCTCCTCTTAAAAGGGCACAATCCCATCATGAGGGCTCTGCCCTCCTGGCCTAGTTAATTCCCAAAGGTCCCACCTCCTGATGCCATCGCACTGGGGATTAGGGTTTCAATATATGAATTGCTGTCAGGGCCGGGGGGGGAGGTGTGGAAGAGGGGCAGGGGAACAAACATGCAGTCCATACTAGGTTCAAATCCTGAATCAGCCCCTTACCTACACTCGGCAGATTTCCAATTCCTCGGTTGCAAAAGGAGCCTCATAACGGCACCTGCCTCCTGGGTGCCTGGGAGGATTAAATGAGCAATCACATGGGAAATCAGCAGCCCACTGCCTGGCACGTGGTGGGTTTGTACCCTCTCCTCCCATCTATACACGTTCCCGAAGGCTGGAGTGCACATGAATTGGACACTCACAGACTCAGAGGTGCCAACATGGAATGTTCTTTAATTTTCTCTCCCTGAGCTCAACTCCTGTGTTCTCACCGCCCTGGGCATAGGAAGTGGCATCTAAACAACTGTCGGGTAACCCCAGTCACACTTCATCATGCCCAGTCACTTCAGGATTTGGACCAGCCCCCTCTGTCCCTGGGGAGCCCAGGGGTTCACTGGGTACCCGGATCATGGTAGTTCAACAAGCATCCACGCTGGCTTCTGCCAGTCCTTGTCTGGGAGCAGAAGCCACAGTCCAGCTGGGACCCTGTGGTAGAGTGAGCGAGCAACTGTCTCAGGTTCCCAGTTTTAGCTCTGAAAGCTCCACGTTCCAGGAAACCCTCAGTCCCAAGCAGAGAGGGATGGCTGAGCATCCTACCCTGTGAGCCTGTCCATGCCCTCATCAACGTCCAAGACTCTCAAGACTTCTCCCGGCTCCCAGTGGTGCTTCCAACCCTCCTGGGTTCTGGCTGGGGAGAGGGAGGGCTCCAGGCTGCTGGCCCTGCCCCGTGCCCGGGTGTCCGGGGTTCTGGAGACTGCCTCTTGCCACCTACCCCCACGGCTCACTCGGTCAGCACCTCCGCTAGGCAGGCAGCCTGCAAACACCATCTACAGACACCTGGGGGCACACTTTCTGCCCTCGATCTTTCATCTTGGAAGCCAGGCTCTTAGAACTTGAAAATCCTGTTACCGGCAAAGCCGGACTCTTGCTATCACTGCTTATCATTGGCTATCACCGCTATTCTTTGTGCTGAGAGTTTAAACTTTTTTTTTTAATTCAATTAGCCAAGGTATAGTACATCATTAGTTTTTAGTATATGTGCTGCCGAAGCGAGCACAGTACATCATTAGTTTTTGATATAATGTTCGATGATTTAAACTTTTTTTAAGATTTATTTATTTATTTGACAGAGAGACACACAGCGAAGAGAGGGAACACAAGCAGGGGGAGTGGGAGAGGGAGAAGCAGGCTTCCCGCGGAGCAGGGAGCCCGATGCGGGGCTCGATCCCAGGACCCTGGGATCATGACCTGAGCCGAAGGCAGACGCTTAACCGACTGAGCCACCCAGGCGCCCCGAGTTTAAACTTTTTTCATTTAATAAGAGCAGATAGCATTTATTGAGTGCTTCCTGCTGGCCAGGCACTGTTCTAGTATTTTACACCTGTTAGCTTTTTTTTGATCCTCATGATCTCTTAGTGTGCTCTTACTGGCACCCTCTCCTTAAACTGTAACCCATAGTACAGAGAGACGCGTAAGGAACTTGTCCAAGGTCACACAGCTAGCTGGTTGGTGTGGCCCCGGAGCTGAATTCTGGCCAACTGGCCCCCAGGCCCCTATTTTTAACTGTTTCTTTCCTTTTATTCATAGGTTGGGTTTGTTGTGCTTGTTCAATGTGAAAAGAAAGGTACAGGGGTGGGGTGGAAGGTCGTGGAAAATAAACAGAGGTCCACGCCTCCCAATTTTATCCCAAGAAGAACAAAGTAGGGGCACTTGGGTGGCTCAGTCTGTGGAGAGGCTGCCTTCGGCTCAGGTCATGATCTCAGCGTCCTGGGATCGAGCCCCACGTCGGGCTCCCTGCTCAGCGGAGAATCTGCTTCTCCCTCTCCCTCTGCCCTTCTTCCCACTGGTCGTGCTCTCTCTCTCGCTCTCTTGCTCTCTCGCTCTCTCTCTCCCTCTCAGGTGGGTAAATAAAATCTTTAAAAAAAAAATCTGGAATGACGCAAGTATGACCTCTACCACCACAAAAAAAAAAAAAAAAAGAACAAAGTCGCACATGGGAAGACGCTCAGGTGTGTTAGTGCCACAACTGTGGTGACATTGTCATGAAATGGTCGAAGGAATCTAAAGGTCATTGGCAGAGGGCTGATCTGATTCATCCAGCCTGAGACTGGCTCTCTGTGGAGAGGCGGAGTGGGGGTGCGATGGTGGTGGAGATGCAAGTGCTCCAACGTGTTGAGTGCACGCTGGGGTGCGCCACCTGCCCAGTGCCCACCTGCCCTGCCTCTAGGATGGCTCAGTCCGTTCTCCTTGGCCCTCGGGGTCTCTCCCCAGGCCCCCCAGCCCGCGCCTGCACAGCCCCTTACACTCCACCCTCCAATAGTGCTCAGACGCCCCCTTCCTGACCTGGGGTCTCTCCCCGACAAGGTCCATCTTGTCCCCCAACCCTGGCGTCTCCCCCACCAGCAGAGCCTGCTTGTGTCCCATCCTGATGGCTCCCCATGAAAGCTCAGCACCTCTTCCCTCCCCTCCTGGGGTCTCTCCCACCCACCCCCTGCAGGGCCTGCCCAGCCCCTTCCTGCGCTGCCCGTCGCAGCGACTCCTGGACCGTGTGGTCCGGCGCTATGCTGAGGTGGCCGACGCCGGCAGCATCTTCATGGACCACTTCACAGACCGAGACAAGCTGCGTCTGCTCTACACCCTGGCTGTCAATGCTCATCCCATCCTCCTGCAGGTATGCAGTGACCCCCGCCCAGGGAGGGGCTTCATGTCGGGCTCCAAGGGGGCCAGCCCTGGGCTGAGCTCTCTTCCCCTTTACCCAGAGCCTTGGGGCCACCCCTGGGAGATGTGCCCTGCAGCCATGCCTGGAAAGGAGAGAAAAATGGAAGTAGGGTAGATGCCCATCACTAGGGGAATGGTCAAGTAAATGAGGGTGCACTAGAACCCGGGGAGACCCTGGTCAACGAGGCAGTCGTGGTGGCCCCGATTTCCCTGCAGCTTCCAGTCCAGAGGTGGAGACAGACACTTAGCAAGTCAGCGAGCATCCGCAGAGCGTGTGGAGCCCGATCACACCGGTCTTCCCCAAATCCCGAGGGTCAGGACGCTCACGGTGTGGGCACAAAGGAAACTGGGAAGTGGGAAGAAGGAACGGAAAAAGGAGGAGGGCTAGAGAGGGGGGGGAAAAGAGGAGGGAGAGGAGGAGCAGGAGGAGGAGGAGGAATGAGGGAAGGAGGAGAGATAGGAGACGGAGGGGAAAGAAGAGAGAAGGAAAGGTGCAAGTAGAGGAGGAAGACGCCGCAACAAAAACAATGTTTCGTATCACACAATTCTACCTAATTATTAATTTCATCCTTTCAATTTGATTTTAAATATAATTGTATATAATTATTAATGATACATAATCAGTAATCATTGTTATATTGTTATATTACACATTTTAGTCTATAGTAACTGATATAAATATATTTATATATAATTATTTCCCATTTGTTATTTATGATACATCTAATTATATGATGTTTAATTATTAGATATTATTTGTTATATATAATTACATAATATATAACTAATATATAATAATTATTATATGTAACACAATATGTAATATATTATATGATATATAAAATGATATATAATAATCATATAGGTTATAATATATATGATGCATATTCCATAATGATCATATAGATTATATATGATTAATATAATTATATAATATATAATGTTATAATATAGACTATATAATATATAACAATTATGTAATATATTATCATATATAACATATATGATAATATATTAATAATCTATATGGTTATTAATAATCTATATGATTATTAATATATTATATATAGTTTATATAATTATATATGATTATATATTATAATAATGGACAATATAATATATTAATAATCATAATATAATGTGATATATAATTATTAACATATAACTTCCTGTCTAATGCATATTTATTAATATATGAATAATTAATATATATTGATATATAATCAATGAGGTGCTCTGACTTATTAAGCACCTACTGTGTACCGGGTTTTGTGTCGAATGTTTTACATCACGACTCCACAACCCCACCGAAATATTATTATTGTCCCCTTTTCCAGATGAGGTAGGGGGTGCTCAGAGATGTGAGGTGACTTGACCACAGTCACTTAGCTAATGTCAGCAATGCGACCCAAACCCAGAGCTGTCTGACTGCAAGGTCCATTCGTTAAAGCCTGCCTAGTAACATTGGCATTTTAAATCCTGGAGAAGAAGGAACTGCTGGCTGTCCCTCTCAGGGGTCTGCTTTTCCCAGCATCCTAACCTCAGTGGTGGCAGCAGACTCCTGAGAGGCCTGGGCTAGGTCCCTCCATCCACCCTGGGCCCCACCCGGGAAGAGCCTGGATCTTGTCACCCTTGTCCAACCCCGAGATGACCCCGCGGCTGCGCAGTTAGACCTCGCGGGGGGGGGGGGGGGGGCCGGGACCTCCCTCCACAGCACTTAGTGGGAGAGGTCCCGGGTGGGCAGGGGAAGCAAGAAAAGGTTCTTCACAACCGCCGGGTGGGTTAAAATGGACAGAAGACCCCAGAAAATTGTCCGAGAGGGGGATAATTTCTTTTTTTTTTTAAAGAAAGAAAAGAAGAAAAAAAAAGTGGTTATTTATAGTTTCTGTCATTTCTCCCTCGTTCAAAGAAACACCATTCCAGACACAGCTGCTTCAATAAATAGTCAAGAAAAGAGCAGCCAGGATTCCTTCCTTCCTTTTTCATCTCAGAAATCCACGAGTGTGGTGCCCTTACCAGGACACCCAGGAGACCCACCAGGGCTGTGTGCTTCCGGAGACCAGTGTTAGGCAGTCAGAAGGTTCCAGTCAGTCGGGGGGTGGGAGCAGGTGCAGCATCTGTGAGTAGGTAGTTACCCCTGTCAGGCAGATTCACCCAGAGCCAGCGCCGTGCTTCCCAAAACTCAAGCCACCAAGGGCCACTGTCGTGATTTTTGCTCTTTCCCAGAACCTGTGCCTGCACTGTTATTTTTGAAAATATTTTCCTTTACATCGGCCTGAATTTGACCCTCTTGTTTCACCCCATGGCCTCTTCCTAGGCAGGGCTGCCCATGAAATCCCAAAAACGAGTCACATTTTTTTCGACTCTTCAGCTCTTTAAAATAAACACAGTCCCCTGAATCTGGAAGCCCACGGAAAATCGGCTCTCGCTTGGGGAACCTGTTGAAATGCAACCGCTGCATGGACATAGGGACTGCCTTTTCTGAATGCCTTCATCCATCGACCATGGGACGAAAGCTGGGGGGGTCCCTGGTCCAAGAGGTCAGAATAGGCTGAGGGACACGTGGCCGAGGCGTCCGGAGACGGAGGGGGCTTGGTGAGGCTCATCCCTCTGAGGGCTCCTGGCGAGAGGCAGGGGCGAGTTGTTGTCTCTCATCCTCGAATGCCTCCCCCTTCCTGCTCGGCAGATCTTCCCGGGCGCCGAGGGCTGGCCGCTGCCCAAGTACCTGGGCTCCTGCGGCCGACTGGCGGTCAGCACCAGCACCAGCCCGCTGCGGGACTTCTACGGCGCGGCCCCGGACCAGGCGGCCGACCTGGCCTACCAGCTCCTCGGTGTCCTCGAGTCCCTGAGGAGCAATGACCTGAACTACTTCTTCTACTTCACCCACGTCGACGCGGGCACATTTGGCATCTTTAACAATGGGCATCTGTTCATCCGGGATGCCAGCGCCTTGGGCGTCATCGACAAGCAGGAAGGTACCCAGCATGGGCCTGGCTGAACAGCTGGTAGAGGGGAAGTCAGGGTGACAGGGGCCAGGGAGGGGGTGACTGGGGTGGAGGGGGGGGCGCACCCCGGGCTGTTCCGGTCTCCGTGTGTCACCGTAAGAGCAGTCCCAGTTCGTAAAATGTCCCTCTTCCCCTTTTGAGTCTGGGCTCCAACTCCCTCTCGAAGGGGAACCGGACTTGACCTTGTGCATGGCGGCCTTCTGCCACGCGGCCCCGCCTACACCCTCAGGGCGCTGCCGGTGTCCCAGGCCGTCTGTGTGGCACGGGGCGCCTGCCCTGCCCGCCTTCACACACGCCCCACCTCCGGATCCGCCCCCTCAGAGCCTCTCTCTCTGATGCTTCCAGCCTTTATCTGAAACGTCCCTATCTGGCTGATGCCCTGGTCCACGGTGCCATCCGTCTGGGCACCTTTGCTTTTTCTAAACTTTCCAAACAAAAGAGCATGGCATCGAATGTGGTATATGAGAGAATCGGGTTTCTCCCTGCCCACACAGGCTCAGCCAGCGTTCTAGAACTCTTTGAACATCCCAGTCCCGAGCGGTGACCACATTTTCTGAGCCCAGGCACAGGACGGATTCTTTTCTTCTCTGATCTCTGATTTTGCTGATATGAGAAGGCCTCTGAAGACTACCAGTGAAACCGCACTGACTCATTTCCTGAGTTGCCTTTCTTAAGAAGAATCGAGTCAGAAGAAACGAGGCTGTTGGCAGAATATTGGGGCGACGGAAACCACTGCGCTGGGCAGTCCCACTGGTCCCCCTGCATGCATATTCTGCATCACCTGCTCTTTCTCCCAACGTTGTACTTCACCCGGGCGGATGAGACGGGTCGGTCCTAGGCATTTCCTGCATTCACTCCTTCCACAATAATAACGGGAGAATCACGGTGTGGGGGTGAGCCCTACAATTAGAAGCCCAACCTCTGGCGGGGATCAGCGCATTTTCCGTGCCGTGGCCTCCTCCCGCCATAGCACAGAGAGTCCCTCCCGTGTTGTCCTCAGCAGGGACCACTGTGTCCCCAAGCTCTAAATCTCCTGGTGACAGGAGATGCTAGGACACTGAACATTCATCCAGCAATTCTAATTAGTGGCGCCCCGCCCCCCGCTCCACTCCCCTGCAAGGAGCGCAGGTCGTAGGGTGTGTAATATTGTGCATCTCTCTTCTAGGCAGCCCGGCAGCTGCCGGAGCAGGAGAGAGTAAAGACATCTTCAGCTGCCTGCTTTCGGGCTGCCAGGCCGAGCTGCCCTCCTGCTACACCATCCCGGAGAAGCAGAGCCTGGTGCTCGTGTGTCGGCAGCTGCTACCTCGACTCCTCCAGGGGAAGTTCCCCTCTCCGGTGCAGGAGGAGATAGACACGGCACTTGCCCAGTGTGGGGAGGGCGCCCACCCCGACCCCGAAGTGCTCGGGGCCGCCAGCCGGCTGAAGGACATCTTGAGACCCCTGAGAACCTGTGACCCCAGATTCGCCTACCGCTACCCAGACTGCAAGTATAATGATAAGTTCTGAGCGGCTGGAGCCTTGCCGGCCTCCGGGGACAACGTCCCTGGCCCTCCCTTGCCCAGGCTGGTCGCTGCAAGGTTGAAAGAAGCAGCTCCGTCCTGGGACATTCGGAGAGAGGCACCTTCATTTCCCGGGAACGAAGGAACACTCTGACACCAGAGGGGAGTCGTGCCGCACAGCACGGTTGCCCCTGCTGGCTACAGCATCACAGAGAAGCCCGGGGCTGGGCGGCAGAAGACCGACCGCAGACACTCACTGGATCTCGCTGAGCTTCAGTGTCCTCTGTTCTCCACCAGACTCTTGAGTTACTGAAAGAAGACAGGGATGTGAAGGGCCAGGGACACGGGCAGGTGGTTACAGAGAGTGTTCCGGAAGCGTGCGCAGGCAGGACACATGGGACAGAGCGTGGAGGTGGAGGCTGACATGGAGGGAAGGCAGGGGGAAGGTGAGGCCACTGGCCAGGACCGTGTCAGGCTCAAACATGAGGGGCCCCCTTCTTGCTCCCTGGGCCCTCGCACTAGCCCTTCCACCGTGCTGCCCACACTGCCACGGAGTGAGGAGACCACAGGCCAAGGAAACGCGAGGACAGGTGCACAGTCTGGGTGCCTGGGGTCCCGGGTGCTCCTGTGAGGCACCTCGTGGCGTGAGAAGGAGCCCCGGCTGAGAACAGATGAGCGGTGGGGGGGAGGGGGGGTTGGGCAATGTGTTTGTCCGGGACCTCTGAGAAGCAGGTGTCAGGACGAGGGTGATTCGGGCAAGGATCGTATTAAAGAAGATCGCTGTGTAGGAGGGAAGAAGGCGGTGTTGCCAGTCTGAGCCCAAGTGAGGGAGAGAAGGTCAGTGGGGGCATTCTAAGAGTGGCATCGGCGCTATATCTAAAGGAAGGTTCCACAGGGCCCTGCTGCCCTCAGTTGTTGGCAGGGAAGAGCCCGTGGGAAGTGTGACCTTGCCCTCCCCGCAGAAACGGCGTTGAGAGCGAGGCGCAGGGCCGGCAGCCAGCTCTGCTCCCTGGAGCAGGAGGCCTGAACAGGACACGCCAGCCACAGCCGGGGCCCCAGGCCAGCTCTGTCCTCACCGTGGCCTCCAGTGTAGCAGCCGAAGGAGTCTGAGAATTTCCCTTGAACTCAGCCTTACGGGTCGTTGCAACAGTATTTTTTCAAGGTCAGCCAACAGAACGTATTCTATTCAACAATGTGTTAGTTTGCTTTATACCTTTGAAATATTTAGTCACATGGTATGTGGGCCTCCATGTGGATTCTTGCCCTGACCCCTCAAGCCTTAGTGGGGGGCTCTTTGGCCCTTTGTCCAGCCTCCCCGTCAGCCCTCGACCCTTAGGGACCTCCCAGTCGTCCTCTCGTCTCCCTCTGAATCACCACCTTTAGGTCAGAATGCCTGACTTAATAAGTCTCATACTACAGACAGGGAAACTGAGGCCCAGGAGGAAGAGCAACTTGCTGAGATGGTCCATGCTCCTCTGGCCTTCCCCTTCGGCTGCTGATTCACACCCTGTCCTACCCAGTTTGGGCCCCTTCACTCACATTTACAGATGGGCCAAGAAACGTCTTATTTCATTGTCTACCAGATTGCTTGCCTTGGGGGGGGGGGTTGCCTTTTGATGGCTCCAGGCACTAACCCCCGGGGCAACCATGATAGCAAGGATGGCAGGCCAAGCTTCTGGAAGGGCAGGCCTGGGCTGCCTGAGAGTCTTGGAGACGGTGGCCTTCTGGCTTGGTCGGGAGGGGTGAGGATTGACCCAACCTGCAATATTCCCCAAGTCCAGTCTATAGGGGTGGGTTCAAAGGCCAGGCCCAACCATGAGGGAGTGTGTTGTATGCATCTGTACCCAGGGCTGAGGTTCAGACGGTTCCATTTCTCCACTTACCAAGTTCCATGCATCATATAAGATCCTGTCTGAGTCCTACCTTGACCCAGAGCTTTTCCTGACAGCCTGGCCCCCAGGGAGCCCTTTCTGAATCCCCTCTCTGTACCCCTAACCATAGGTCTGTGCCCATGTGAAGCTAATCCGAAGGGTATTCCAGAGAGATCTGTGTCCCACCCTCCCATCCGGCTGAAAGCAGCCTCCAGATGGCGGATGGCGGATGGCGGTGGTGAGGGCACTTTGTGTTCTTCGCAGCAACCCGGCCGGGCACAGAGCAGGTGCTCGAAAAACAGTACACTCTTTAGGCCCTTTTGCTTGGCGTTTGTCACATACTATGTGCTCTAGACTCATGTGTCTCCCCAGAATTCCTCTCTAGAAATCCTAAACCCCAGTGTGATGGTATTAGGTGCTGGGGCCTTGGGAGGGTGATCGGCTCATGAGGGTGGAGCCCTCATGGATGGGATCAGTGCCCTTCTGAAACAGATCCCGGGGAGCCCCCTTGCCCCTCCTGCCACATGAGGACGCAGGAAGGAGATGGCCATCTATGCACCAGCAAGAAGTCTCTCTCCAGACACAGAACCTGCCAGTGCCTTGATCGCAGACTTCCCAGCCCCCCAGAACTGTGAGAAATAAATGTCTGTTGCTTGTCAGCGCCCCTGCCCCCGGGTCTATGGTATTTTGTTATAGCCACCCAAACAGACGAAGACACGTTGCCGGCCATATGCAGGACAGAGCGGCTTCCCTGAGAGTTTTGCTAGCTACTGCCTTTTTGGCCCGCAGGACCAGCTCCCTAATTTGCGGGGCCTCATGCAAAAAATGAGAAAGTGGGGCCTCCTGTTATTAAGACTGGCCAGACAACAGAGCATGAAACCAAGCGCAGGCCCTGTGAGACTGCAGAGCTTGCGTGCCCGTGAAGCTGGCCCTGGGTGCCGGAGAATATGAACTGTTCACCTCGGCAGAGAATGTCCCTGGGGTTCGCTGGCATCTCCTTTGACCTCCACCACCAAGGGGACGAGGTGCGGGACCAGAGGCCATATACAAAATACGGAACAACCACCATGGCAAAGGAACTGAGCTACGAGAACACATTCCACCTGCCGCAGCCTGACGTGGGCAGAACCACAGCCTGGCGGGCAAGTCCGACTCTTCGAAGGAGGAAACGGGTTCAAGCAATTCGTTCAAAGTGACCATTTTTCCAGGCCTCTCCTGTAGCATCTGTCTTCTGCCCGCCAGTGATTCCGTGAGCCTGAAAGTTTCCTCTAGGGTTAGAAGATAAATCGTTTGCTAAATAAATCAATACTTTGCTGGACTTGTCTTCTTTTGGGAAAGATCTACAGCCAGACCTGGTTTCATGTAATGATTCGGCTGATTCCTGTGTAACCTTGGGCAAGTTGCTTAACCTCTCTGAGCCTGCATAAGATGGGGAGGAAAGGCTCTGCCCTCGCAGGGTTACTGTCCTGTTTCAATAATACAGTGTCTCTCAAGAGCCTGGCACATATAGGCATTCTGTATTTGAAGGCAGATGTAGGGCAAGAACAGAGGGTCTCCCAGCCCAAAAGGGCTCCTCACAGAGCCAAGGTGAGTGCGGCAGGCTCTGGGAGGCCCCCTGATCCCGGCCCCAAGGCTCTGCTCCAGCCCAGAGGACCCGTAAGGAAGCCAGGATGCCGCAGGCTGACAGTCTGACTGGGGCCATTGTTATGGCCTCCTGCTAACCAGACTCTGGCTTGATCATGAATGACAGCTGGGCAGCCACTGTCCACACCTCCTCAGCCCAGCCCTCCCCCAGGCTCAGAAGGGAATCCTCCTCAAGCAGGTAATGTTGGGGGCCTTGGGAAGTCCATCCGCGCTCAGTACTGAAGAGAAATGCGGAAGCCACCTTGGCCCATTGAAAGCCTGTGTGTGGAGACGTGGCTTTTCTGCCCACTCCAGGCCTGTTGCCCACGTATTCTGGCACAGCTGGGCTCACGTGCGCACAGGTATACTCTTGGTCTGTCTGCAGCTCTTCAGGGCACTGTTTAAGAACAGTTGCAGTTGCAAGACATGTGGGAGGGTCAACGCCCAGGCAGGGGGCGGTGAATTTGCAGATATAATGACCCTCCAAAAGGCAACTGAGAGGAACAGGCCCTCAAAGGGGAGCTGGGCAACGAGTTCAAGTGGCCCACCCCGTGTAGCTCTTTGTAGGAGCAGACAAGGAGAGGGAGCACCCCCATCCCACTAGGGTGTCAGATCCTGCACCAGCCCCTCTTGCAAAAGTCAGCACGTCAAAGTTATTTATTGCGGTGTTGCTTATAATTGAAAATACTGGAAACAACCTAAGTGACCGTACATGGGAGAGTGGTTGAATAAACCATGATACCTCCACACAGTAGAGTGCCATGCAGCTTTGAAAATGAATGCGGATGATCTCTATGAACTGATAAGGAAAGATCTGCAAGATACACAGCTAAACGAGAACAACATAAAAGCAAAGCACCAGGAGTATTTAGAGGATGCGACCTTTCATGTAAGAAAAAAAGAGTATAAGTAAATATTTATGTATCTGCTCACTTGTGATACAAATATATATTATATATAAGATATTATATAATACATATACATATATATATATAGAGAGAGAGAGAGAGAGAATAAACCAGAAGCTAATGAGATTGGTTACCTAAAGGGGGTGGTGGGAATGGGGTGGAAAGAAGGGAGGAATGGGAATGGAGGTAGGGACGAAGAGGGAGTCAACCTTCTCAGGGTATACCTTTTTGTATAAATGTGACTCTTAGAACCACAGGAATGCCTCAACCAACCCACAAATAAATAATTAAGATCCCCCAGGATGTGGGTTGCACTAAGATGTAATACAAACCATAACGAGTGGACCTAACTGTGTTACACATGACTAGGATAACCACACCGAAGAACTAGCCTAAGTAACTTGAAAAGTAAGCATTTCAACTACAACAGTATAAGGCTAAAGACAAAAACAACTGTGCACACAATTTAAAATGGTTCATTTTGTGCTATGTGAATTTCACCTCGATTTAGAAAGAGAAAGGAGACAAAGAACCATGCACAAAAAATTGTGCTCTAGTTAGTAAAATTTTTCCCATGGGGATGTGGGTTACCTGTTCCAAAATTA